TTTTTTTTTTTTGTTTCAGTTCGTTCGCGAATGTATCATAAGGAAGAAGGATCGTTTGTTTAAAATTGAGCACGATGAGAGCGCGAGAGTCGATCGTGTACACTCCAGTGTCTCTCGGACCGGATACGGATGACGAGGAAACGCTGGTCAACGCGGAAGTCTACAACAATGGTGAGTTTTCGTATTTCTACTATTTTTGATTAAAATATCCTGATATATTTGAGTGTTTAAAATACTCAAAGTGTATAGTATTCGTTACAATATCTTGTGGCTGGAAGGAATCTTTGGTCAAATCTAGTTTCCTTTCTTTCCTTCAGTTCATAAATATATAAATTCGCACGAAGAGCCGATCCATAATATAAAAACTATTACAAAATAATGATTAAATATTAAGAAGACCGAAGTTTAAAAAGCGCGGGAAATAATAAAACTTTTCCGAATATTTTGAAATGGCAATAGGATATTTTAACTAATGAATTTTACAAAAATTTAAGAATCAGAGAATTCAAATGAATATTAAGCGCGCCAACAACACGTTTTTACCAACGATCGATAAGCTGAGATCTTCGAGCTTCACGTTAGAGTTTCCTATCATATAAGAAGGCAAGGTTAATGGCCTTCTCGGGCATGCTTGTACAGCAAATCTCATTAACACCGACAAAAAAATCCTCTTATCTTGTCTCCGATGTTTAATGTTGCCTAACGACGTTTAATAGCGTTTTACGACAGATTTTTGCGCGTTCTGGTTCAGCTTACACCACGGATCAATTGGTAACATTGAATTGCGCGTATCTTCTATGAACGAGTCGAGTCTGTCGTATGATGATGACTTTCATTTTTATTATTTTTTCAAATAAAAATTGAAGAATACAAAGGAAAAAGCACGAATGAAAGTCACAGTTCAAAATTCGTTACATTGTCAATTAATTGACAAACATGATTTGACATTGACTAAACGAATAGTTCTCCATTTTCTTTTTTTACTTTTCAAAATATTAAAATATATGTTTGTTTTATTAGCTACTTCTTCAACTCATACGAAGACATATTTCTATTCACTTTTTATTATTTTATATCAATTGCAGCAGAGTTTTGCAGACTG